ATGGAAGATGCTTTTTTTATGCCTTTTTATGTTTTTGTTTGTTCATGTATGTTTTGTGTTTGTTGTAAAAATAAAAAAACATTTATAAAAAAAAAAAAAACATAAAAACCCCAACACAAAACTCATAAACATAAGATATAAAGGAAAAAAAACTCAGATGCAAAAACAAGAAGGCATCAAGTATCAACTTAAGAAAAAGTCCTCCAAAATAATTCAGTTTTTAAGTTTCTAGAAATCCAGCAAGCAGAAGGCCAGCCTGATCTCCATCAGAAAAGTATTCCAGAGCAAAAATGCTGCCATGGAAAAAGCAGTGCCTTCTGGCTTCAGCCTCCCCTCCCCACAACCTCTGGGACTGTTAAATAATTTCTTCCTGGATTTCTAAGAGGTTGGGCCAATGTTGGTTGAAGGTGATTCCATAGGTACTTTTGAAACATGGGATAATCCCAAAAGTTTCTGGTGCCAAAAAATTCCCATTTCCAGTCTTACTGTATTCATGACCTAGTTAATGTGGTGACCAGCCCAGATATCTGCACCAAAGACCTGCTTGGAAGAATTTTCGGTACCTCAAGCTTTCAAGTGCAACTGGTCTGCCCATGCCATGTGGACAGGTCAGCCATTTTGGGCTTCAGTAGTTTAAAGTTTCATAGGTGGTATTTAATCAAATGCAGGCAGTCTTATCATCTTGTCATTTTGCTGATAGTAGGAAGAGAACTGGGAAGAAGGAGCAGCTGCCCAAGGAAACAGATGTTGTATTGGTAGAATCACAAGTGGACAGGAGCTGAGCAATTCCCAGGGTCCTGAGCTTGGAGACTTCTCACTTGTTGTCTTCAAGTTGGGGCTGAAAGATTAAGACACACCATATCTCACTAGAAAACTTACACACTTCCTAACAGAATCCATAAGCTTTATATTCAGCACTGTAAGGAGTAAAGTCAGCTAAGCTCTTTGGGTAGAAGGAATCATATAACATTAATGAAGTGGTAGGTGTATATCAGTGAACAAAAGCACATCTAATATGGAAGACCTGGTCTGCTGTTTTTTTAGGAATGAGGAAAGGTGGATTCTTTTTTTTAATAATTTTATTTAACAAAACAGAACAAAGAGGAAAAAAAAGGAAAAAAGAAAGCAATATGATGGTATTTCATGTGTGTGTATGAAATTTTACACAATTTAAATAAATGATTACCATATTTCATTGTAATTGTCCATACATATTCTGCATCTGTAAGCAACTCATTTAAGTAACATCTTTCCAATACTGAAGGATTAGCCTCTTAGTAGTAATGAAGGCATGGAGAATCCATTTCCATTGTCCAATTATTGATTTCCATGCAATGCATAGTTACCTTAAATACGACAAATCCTTTTCTTTCTTGTATAATCAACCCTCATCTTTATGATAAATATATCAGTTGTATGCTGATCTATGACTGTAATAAAGATTTGATTAGTATCAGTTGAGCGTTTTCATCCTTTCAGGAGTCTGAAATTCTGATTTATGAAACAGAGTATAAAGAATTTTACTTCTTTTCTAGTGAAAACGTAATAAAAAGCAAAGTACCCTAAGAAAGTAAAATAAGGAAATAACAATATAGCAATTGGCAAGCTTTAATACTACATACCAATTTTTACATTCTAAACCTAATCCCACACCAATATATGCATAATCTTACCCACTTTAGAGTGCATCTGGGGAAAAGCTGTGAAAGATGTTATGTTTTCTGTGTTAGGCCTCTTTCCTTCTCCCTGCTTGGTGGTGTCAATGGCCTATACGTGTTTGATGGGAGTTTACTCCTTGTAACATCTGCATGCAGAGATAACTGCAGAAAACCACTTTGGGCTGTTTGCCACAGTGTACCATAGGTACAGTTACCATACTTCCTGTATTATAAAGGACAGTCCTTTATTTCAGGAAGCTGTCCTTTAGATTTATTTTCTTGGTTTTGCTCTTAAAATTTCCTTTGTAAAGCAAAGTTATAAACTTAACCAATTATTATTTTTTAACCCTTATGAATCTCTTTCAGATTTGCCCCTTTTTCAGGTTTGTCCTTTATTTTTTCCAGGAAAATATGGTCACTGTAACACAGGAGATCTGCCCTGTGGGTGTTTCAGGGTTTCACTCTTGGAACTCCTGGTGGGAGCAAGGCCAACTCCCTAAGAGTTTCTGCTTGACCTGTTATTTAAGGAAGTTTCCCAGCTATGCTTTGTATATAAGTTAAGGCTCAGCCCGTTAACAGTTATCAGCAAGCCGCACATTAAGTACCAAAGCGCTCAGAGTCACATGCAGAGACAGGGTCACTGCTGATTTCCTTTTCCTGGAAACTAGCTAGCATTTAGGTCAGCCTGATGCATCAGCAAAAGGGGCGGATGAATTGTCTTTCTGAATATGATCTTTGAACAGGGTAAAGTAGATTTCAGTGCTGCTAGAATAAGCCAATCATTACTGTGCACAAACTTCTTTTCCAAAGCAAAAAAAGAAAAAAGTTTTTTGCTGAGATTAAACCTGGAGGGGAAACCTGTAAATTTAATGCCTGGTGAGTCTGCTTTTATGGCAACGTCACTGCTCAATCCCTATAGTATGCCAAGTATGTCAAAAGCAGCAATATAATTAATTCATCCGTAGTAGGAAACAAAAGCGGCGTGTAACTTTCTGGCAAAAAAAGCCACAGAATCTGAATTACGTTTATGAGCTCTGTCACGTTGCTTCTCCCCCAAACTGCAAAGCACGCCACGCGCACCAGAGCCCCGAAGCGTACGCCCTGCAGTTCGTCCTCACCGGCGTCTGCAGATCACCGCTCGCGGAGACCTTCCTTTTTCATTTTCTCCCCTCCCAGGAGGGGAAATCAACCTCATCCACAGCTGAGGTAGAAGGGAACACAAAGGCTGCAAGCGTGTTCAGTTCCAGCGGACAAAAAAAGGAGAGAAATTAGCCGCTCAAAAGCAAAACGCCCCGCAGAAGCACAACCCTTCGCGTGCACTCCCAAGAGGCGGGTAGAAGCGCTGCGGGAGGAACAGCTGGCGGGAAGGTAAGAGTGACACATGAGCAAAGAGGCGGGACTTGGCCCGCGCAGACCTGGGAGGCGCGCGGGTAGCTGTTGTGTTGGGGCTGGGGGCAAGCGGGAAAATAAAAGCGGCTTATTTGCGGGAGGGAGACCGGATGTCGGATTTTATGTTTTATTTTTAAGCGCACCAGCGATGCTTTGCGGTTTCCATTTTGCATGGGTGGAAACGTGCTGAGTAACACTGAGGCTGGCGTAGCACGTACTATGCCCTTTCCTTTCGGGGTCAATATTATACAAAGAGTGGAAAAAGCGCGAGGGATTAGAAATAAATTAATGGCGTGAGACGTGAAAAACTAAAACCGGTTTACACCGGTACAATTCACTATACTTTTCCATACCGTTTTATTCGTTGCAAACCATCCCTGCCTCCACCTATCGATTCATGCATTGGCTTTTGTCCTTTAAAGGACTCTCGCCTCTTTTTGGGGAGCTCATCATCTAGCCGTGACTTTCTGGGTCTTCCTTCCTTTTAGCCTATCCACTCTTCACAATTCAGTCCTTGTTCATTCTCTCTACGTGACCACCTCAACATACTACTTTCGTATCATTCACTTTGAATTCAGTAATCTTAATTTGCCACCCTATCACTTCTTGTTCAACCATACATACTTTTAAAATAACCAATTACCTACTTTGAAGTTTATCCTCATCTACTGAACTCACACTGCTCATAAGAAGGTAGACAGAAGCACATTCTTGGACATTGCCATTTTCAGTTTTTTGCACATTTATTCCTTGCAACAAACCACTTACTTCCCCCTCCCTTTTTTACCAGAATGTTGGGTATCTTAAAGCTTCATTTTCCCATTTTTAGAAAATGTACCCAAATTCATTAAATTGTTTTTCACCATTTATGGATAACTTGCAATTGTTAGCTCCATTTTCCCTGTCCAAACACAGCTATCTTGGTCTATAATACAATAGTTTTTGAACCCCTACTTCTCATTGCTCAACTCAGGGTTCTCATTTGAGGCACAAATGACCAGGCTCAAATTACTGTATCCTACTTTGGACCTAACTCTCTGGAAAAGGTTGAAATGCTGGGAAGGTAGAAAGAAAGAGAAGATGACCAGCAGCAAGGTGGATGGATTCAGTTACAGTGATGATGAGTGGACCGTTGGGAGACTTGAAAGAACCTGTTGGTTAGGGATAGATTGTCTTCACTTCCCGCCACAAGTTCAGATCACCTTCATGCAGATCAGTTATATCCTCTTCCTTTTTCTTAACAGATACACAACATAACTAGTTTTCTTTCTTTCACTTCATTTGTCAATTCCTGCTTTTTACCATTTACCCCTCTTACATCCAAGTTGCAATCTTCCATTTGCTCTTGATGAATGTATTCTGCAACCATAGTTTACATACGAACACACACACTACTGAGAAAGAGCAATAACGGATCACTACAGCGGGATCAAAGATTTCTTGCCAAGGGTTTTTCTCTTTCTAGTTTCAAAGTAACCTGGAAAATCTGGTAAAGATAATTGTTCAAAACACATTTACAGGACAACACTTGTGAGATGGATTTAATAGGAGGAGCTTTAACAGTGAAATAAATCCTAATACCAAGCCAAATACAGAAAAGGGTACCACTGTAGTACTTAACTACAGAGACTATATATTTAAATATCTTTAAATTGAGAATCATAAAAAAAGTGTGTATATATATGTGCATGAGTCTCTTTCGGCCCTTTTCCTTTGTTCAAACTGCTTCTTTCTGTTCTTTCATTCATTCACCCTTCGGCAAAATTCAAGAATTTCTGGCTCCAGAGCAGCACTTCCACTTCCCCTTCCTCCCTGCTTAGCTCACGGTATATCTGATTTTTTAAGCAGCCAGTCCGCAATACCTGAGGATGGAGACAGAAAGAATTAAAAAAAAGAGAGAGAGAGAGAGAGAGAGAGAGAGAGAGAGAGAGAGAGAAAGCATAGGGATAAATTCTTCTGTCCTGAAAAATCATTTTATCCTCAATGTGACCCTTTTCCCAGAGATATTAAGCAATCTATAATGGCCCTAACAAGATGGGAACACAAAGAAAGGCAGAAACTAGACATTCTGACCAAAAAAAAAAAAAGGACTGGAAGGAATGCCAGTGAAGAACAGAGAAAATGATTGGAAATAAATTTCAGAGAGCCTGAAAGGCTCATCAGCAAACAAAAGAAAAACTGCTGTGTTGTTCTTTACTTATTTCCCTTTTTAATTAGAAAAGGGTCTTCCTCTTATTATGGCCAGAGGTACACTAGGAATTTTGAGAGCATGTTGTTAGCATTCTCACAAAATTGTAAGTGTGACATTTAATCAAAAGGCCTGTTTTCCAAAAGGCAAATTTTAAAATAAAAAATAAGTAATTTTGCCCAGAAACTACGCATCATACTAAATCCAGATTCTTAAACAAGTCATAAAGCTAGGTTCATACAATGAGCTAAGTTATTAACTATCATTCCTAAACCCTAATTCCTGACTGCCTAATAAACTAAGCCCAAACCAGAGAAACTTCATTGAACTTTAGTACAATGTCTGAACCCAGCCACTGAGCACAAGATAAATGTGTTACCTAAATGCCCAAAAGCAAATAACACTTTTCTCCTTAAAAATGCTGCCTTTCTAGAAGGCAAACTAGAGATGTTCAGATACACATACACGTAATCTACACCCATTCAAAAAAGGAAGGGGAGGGGAGAGGAGGAGGGGGGGGAGGAGGAAGGACGGACGGACTAGGGAAAATAAATATATTGCATATACAAAACATGAGCAAAACAAGCAAACTAGCCAGGCCAGGCATTCTTGGAAATAAAGCAGCTGGTAGAGATTGTTTTGTTTTGCAATGTACCAACTACCTACACTGGGGGCAGAAGGTCGGGCAAGCCTTATTGGAAATGTTCAGATAAATTTTGGTGCCCGTGAACACCATGTTGGAGATACAGACTACAAAGAAGGCTTGGTTTTACTGAGTCAGGCCCATAGCTTGCCCAAAGGTCTTGGGATGGGAACAGCCAAAGAACTGGGGAGACTGAGTCAGCCTATGCCATACCAGAACCAAAAATACATAGATGAAGGAAATTTCCCATAGGCAGGAGAACAGCTACTAAATAAATATTTGAAAATCAAGTAAAAATGTAAAATTTTATAGCAGATTTATTTATTTATTTATTTATTTATTTATTTATTTATTTATTTTATTTAAGATGCACGGTCAAGGATCCAAAGCATGGATGACAAAGCATGATATGACATGGCAGTCAAGAAAGAAAAAGGTTATAAAAATCTGGAGTTGATGTATTTTTTATACTTAGAACTAATCCTTGTGAGATTTACTTAAGTTAGTAGAAGTCCAAGCTGACTCATTTTATTTTTTATATCTTTATTGATTCTCAGATACCCTCTTGTTGTTTTCACATTATTTAGTCTGGAATGGATATAGCTGGTTTGCTTAGCTTTTATGCTTAAATCCAAGAAAGTCTTGCTGACAACATTCAATTCTTTAAAACTGCACTCCTGCTTGTCTTGTTTGGTCTGGATTGATGGCATTTATTTTGTCCAGAACCCAAACACTATTCTTCAGGCTACTTCAGGTATCTTTCATCATCATCATCATCATCATCATCATCATCATCATCATCATCATCTTTCTCCTTTTTTCCAAGATAGCAAATTTCTGGATTACTCAGAAGTGCTGCAGTAGTGCTCAGAATAATGCTTTTTTTCTTTTTTACACTCTGTTAAACTGACTTTACAATGCCAGGACTTGCTGGTTTTTATATTTGGTTTTGCTCATGTATGTTTCGTTTCTTAAATGTGGTATATATTTTTAATTTACCATGCAATGTTTTACTCTTTCCTTTTGTGCACCTCTTTGAAAAAAATATTAAAGTCAGGATAAGTATATCTTCACATTATGCAAAGACCCAGCTCTCTGGAAAAGGGTGTAATGCTGGGAAAGGTGGAAGGAAAGAGAAGAAGAGGACAACTAGCAGCAAGGTGGATGGACTCAGTCACAGTGGTGATGTGTGCACTGTTGGGAGACTTGAAAGACCAGGTTAGGGATAGATCATCATGGAGAAAATCTATGTGGTTGATAGAAGTAAAAAATGACTTGATGGCACATAATCAAAAATATATCTCAAGTTAGGGATGAGAAACCTTTTTTGGACCGAGGACTATATTTAAAGAAATGGGAGAAGACAGAATAGGGCAAAAATAGATAGGTTTAAAGTGAAAATCCATTTTAAGTTAGTGAAATTGTGGATTTCTTCCAACTTAATTTAAACTTAAATTAACATTTTTCAAGTATTAACTGTACCCAAATCAGCAAACATGGAATGTGAGTGGTGGCTGAAGAAAGGACCACATGAGTTCATTGGGAAGATCACAAGTGACCAAAGGTTGCCCATTTGTCTTGAATGAACTAATGAACCTTCACGCTGTTAAAAGGAAGGCAGTAATGAAGCCTATCCTACCCTGGAGGGAAAATAACTCATTACATATAAATTTTATTCTACTTTAGTTCCTAGTAAATAAGAAATAAATAATGTATCCATTTAAGAGAAGGGGGAAGAAGGAAGCTAGCACATGAAAGGAAGTTGTAGAGATCAGGGAATCTTGCTGAGTGGTAAGCATACAGCAGGATATTTTTCAAAGAGACTGGCATTTCCAGATTTTTATGACCAATGAAAAGGTGCCATTATTTCTTCTTCTTCTTCTCAGCTTGGCTACGGAAGAGGAAGAACATCCCACAGCAATGCAGTATGAGAATGTAGAAAGTGTCTGAAGTCTTTATGAAGTCAGAAAGCTGGGCTTTTTTAGAATGGCTTGCTGGTGGGCTGTGGGAATTCAGGATAAAAGGATTGAGTCCTCACCTTCTTATTTTGGATGGTGTATTGCATGCACTGATTGCTCTTGAATGCACAATAGGTTGGATGTTGAACTCCTGTTGAGTCACAAATCTGGGAAGAATGAAATGAGACAGAAGTTGGAAACGTGAGAGGAACAAACAACCAAGAGCCAAAAGAAGCTATTCCATGAATGCCCACCTTGTCTGGGAAATCTCCTCCATGAAAGAAAGAATATTCTGACTGCAACCAAAGAGCTACACGATAATCATCACAGCCATGAGCAGCCAAGCGACCACACCAGTACTCTGTCCGCATGCCTCCATAAGTTTCAAACCCATAAAATTCGTCTATGTCTGGGGAGCCCTAATGATAAGAATGGGGAAATAGAAGATTGGCTACATGGGAACATATCTATAGTAAGGAGGCATTCTCCAAAATCTTACCAATCTAACCTTGAGTTACCTCGAGGTTCATAGCCTGATGCTGAGCCAGGATCCCAGGGTTAATGTAGTTTGTGAAGATACCATCATTACAGCGGATACGTTTCAGATTGGAAGCCCCTTGACACTGCTCTGTTTTTAGGGAGCAGAATGCACATTCAGGACACAGATCTGCGTGATGCCGGCCAAGGTTATCGCACACCTAGTGAACAGGGAGAGAGGCCAAAACAACGCTCACAACGCTTTGGGAACTACCTAGCCCTGACTTCCTTAAATATGTGGCTAAACATTGTTGGGGTGAAGTAAGTAGTCAGGAAACTTTCCCAAATTGCATTAGAAGATATTCTAGTAGCATAAATGTTGTGGCATAAATATTTAGTGGGGACTTGGAAATGTCTGCCAGGTGCTGAATTCTACTGTAGGGAAGATACCTTAGATAATCAGCAGTGAGTCTTACCAAATCCTCAGAGCCAAAGATTTTTCCTTCTATTTCTTTCCAGGCCTTGCTAATAGCTGAGGATATGCAAATATCTTGAAGCACTGCATAGCAGAGAATCACCAGAGCTTCATCCTTGTCAATAGCTAAAAGACTGGTGTAGCAAGAGAAAAATGGAGAGAAGCAAGAGATGGAGGAATAATAACAAAGAATGTTTTAATTTTATTCCTCTCTCCCCACCTGCCCACCCCATCAGGGGCAACTGTAATGCCTACTCTTTTGGAGAATAAAGTCTGTTTGAGGTGCAGCTAAGAATAAAACTCAATCTTATGGCAAAGTGCGTTCACTAAGATGCCAGCTTTGCATCTTATTCTCTCATTCCCACCTCCCACCCTTCACCAAATTGTTATTACTTAAGGAAGCTTGTAGGACTATCATATCTGGGCTGCAAACACCCAAGACTACCACTAGAGGACATCAAAGAATTAGGGTTTTTATACCTCCTGGCTGTAATCTAACAGTCATTCTAATTTTTGCAGCTCAGATCTGGTTGCCCTAAAAACATGTGACTTAATATGACTTAACTGTCCCTTGAAAGCTTGTGAAAAATTACATAATACCATTTTGCTATGTTAATCATAAGAGAAAAGGGGAGTAAGGATGAACAAGTTTAATGCTTTGTGGAGTCCTTGGGGTTCTCTGAGCTTG